GATGATATTTATTTATTAATCAAAAGTTTGAGAACTCGGGCTCCACACAGAGACCATGGCCCCCTCGCGAACAGTCCACAGAAAGACCGTGTTCCTCTTGCGAATAGTAGAGGGTCCCTGACGAGCTATATTTCCATTCATGTTCTTTGCTCTTACGGTTTATCTGCGTCTCTGATCAATGCAATATACGGTTTAGTAAATCACAATACATATCTTACACATGTACGATTGCATATTTAAAATCCCTGCATGATTCAGACCAACTAGGAAAAATCCCAACATGCGGTCATAGCCTAACCATAGATCACGAAAAGTATTTTGTGCGCCCTTGGATGATGGTTAAGGTAGAATGTATTAGCAAGATAGTCTTTCAGTAATTTATATTTAATGGTATTATCGAGATAATGAAATTCACGTCTTGAACAGTATACCCCATACCGCACTCCCTACTCCTCTCATTAAGATACATTTAAACCGATAAAATGACCAAGATTTTTTTCTTCAGTAAATAGTAATAATGATGGGGACAGGAAACTTTAGTATTGCACATCATTCAAGGCGAGACACCTACAGGTCATATATACTGCATAATAAAGTGAATATCAAACTAACTTGTTTCACTCTTTCGTTAACATTAATGTAAACATAATTATTCCACACAGTTTAGTGTTTTGAAGTGAGATAAAATATGCCTGTGAAAAGAAGACACAGGTGTTTTTCAACAATGAATTGAAGAATTTGTCAAATCTGAGCTTCTTGTATAGGAAGAGCAGCAGCCTCGTCGACGTTGTACATGATTAGGATAATGGTGTGCAGTGTAAAAATTTACTATTACCTACTAACGGAATATTTTACGCAGTCGAATCTGAAATGTCATAAGGAAGTTCCATAATGCTTGGTAAATTGTAGATTTTTGTTTATCAAGACAGACGTATTCGTTCTTCATGGCATAAGTATTCGCTTTTGATAGAATAAGCATGTTATTCATGACGCAAATTCCCAATATCCATGTTTGTTATTCTTGACGCAAATAATCGTTCTGTTGTTCACTATCATAGCATTGAGTTATTTCGACTTTCCCGCCTCATTCGCACTGCGCCGCCATCTATTGGCAGCGAATCGAACTGAGAGTGCGCCTGCGCAAATCGCTCCTTTCCGAGTGAACCCTGTCTGGGACGTGTGTGTGCTAGAAACTTTTAAAGTATCCGGCTAATCCTTGAAGATGGTAAGCGTTTTATGGCTACAGTTTATATAGTAAAGCACCTATATTATTTGGTGTACTGCTTATATGTTTATAATTCAGGAATAAGCCGACGTTGAGGTTTTATAAGAGAAATAGTGGGATACGGTTGTGATGTGTGGATCCTTCCGGGATGTAAACAAACTCGACGAGTGAGGATGAGTTTTCAGGAACAGTTGAATAAGTGAGTATTTACTTCAAATACGCGGAGGGAAACCAAGAACTGGGAGGCTTTACAAGCTCCTCTGAAGCTATCGCCTGAAACTAAAGTCCAAAACAAGAAATCGGTCATAAATAGATCCACCAAATTTCAGTCTTCCATCGTGGAAATTTTGCAACTGACGACTGTTTATTATTTATAAAGAATATCTTGCATACGCATAATGTACGTCACCTATATCGAGCTTTCGGTAGTGATTATAGAAACCTATGTTTTGTGTTGATGTGAAAAATGTCTATATTTAAGATAAACCCAGCCATAAGGAGCTAACACTATAACGAAAAATCATGCTAATATCAAGACATAATTGCAGTCATGTAGCCCCAATGAACTAGCCACAGCCCCCATTCATGTCGGTTCTCTAGCAAGAGATGTGACAACTCAGGTTAAAGTTAGCCAGAGCGATGCACTAAAATGAACTTAAGAAATGCTTAATCAACATAGGTACAGCCGCTGCGACCTCCTATTTACCTCTAAATGACGAAAGTAGCTGCTGCCTATCACCACCAAAGAGATGAAGTATAAAATAACCTTACACTGCCACTGGATAATTTTACAGAATAGTCTACTTAATGGATTTTGATATAGGTATTGATGTATTCCTCTCTTGAGTCTCCAAATTTATGAAAATTATGCAAAATCTCGAGATGGGCCCAGTTATTGTATCTAATATTTGTTATAACAGATTGTGACAATATGGACCCACTAGGGATGGCACATTTTTAAGCTAAAAATATTGTTTTCCGGGCAGCTTCAAAATTGGCGCTCAGGCAAGTGCGGGAACCTGCCCGCACGCCATGCGCCACGGGTAACAAAATGAGTGCAAGCTCCTAGCTAGCACACATCACACGAGCAGGTCACCTGGGAATGATTAATTTTCTGGGTGCCTTGTATGTGGGACACCCGTCATAAATGGGTTAATGTGCTTGGATTCCTGCCATTGTCTGTATTGTAAACATGTAGGTTTTATTATGCAGAACCCCCACTCCACCCATTAGTAGCAAGCATGATAGCAGGGGAAAGCACCTGGAAA